TGAGCCGTCTTGGCGATGTTACCTTGTAATTGTTACTCTGATGCTTGACCCAAGGTGGGAAAACCTCAGGACAGAGCCGAAGGTGGCGTGTAGGACTCCTGGGCTCCAGCGCAGGCCCTGTGTGACCTTAGGGAAGTCCCCACCCCTCTCTGGGCCTGCTACGCCAGCTCCCTGCTTGCTCTGACATCTTCTTTATGAAGGCAGTACGCGGCCCTGGTGAAGGGTCCCATCATCTCACCCGTATCTGAGTCCCAGATCTCTCCCCTACCATGTGGCCCTGGGAAATTGCTAAACCTTTCTGTGCTTCCTTGCCTCATTTATAAAAAACAGGTTTCTGGGTGATGAAAAGGCAGGGCCCCTGTAAAGCTACTAGAACAGCATCTGGAGTAAGTGCCCAGTAAGCGTGAGTTGTTCCTGTTTGATGATATCTCTGGTTTCTGAATCGCTCCCCTTCCCAGTTTGCTGACTGTAGAAGGGGCAGGCAGAACCCAGACAGCCCTACTTGCCCGGCAGTGGCAGTCCACATCCAAGCCCCATCCCTCAGGGAAAGCAAATCTGAATCTCAGTGTGGGCCAAGCACTGTAGGAAAAGGGAACTATGCGGGAAAAGGCAGAAAAACCTACGATGCTGCCCCAAAGCAGATGGATTGGGGGCATAGGCTGCTCCCTGGGGCTGCTGGGCACCAGAGAAGGCCTCCAGCTGCACTCAGAGTCAGTAGTAGAGGGAGGGTCGCGGCCCATCTCCACCTTGCCCTGGAGGAGGATGACCTTGTGGAGGAGGGCAATGAGATGCAGAAGATGCGGATTGGGTTTATCTGTTCCTACTTCTGCCCGGAAACTCCCAGGAAGAGGAGGCTGGATTCAGTCATCTCAGCCTCGAGAAGGGATGAGGATGACTCCCTCGGACAGCGCTGGTGGCCTCTCCCCTGGGGACATGGAGGTGTGGGCCTCACCATCTCCCTCCACTCCTCAGGGACCCAGGGAGGGTCCTGAACCCCGCCTGGCTCAGTGTTCTCACCTGCAAAGGGAGGACACTCCAACACCTGTTTCCACCAGCTGCTGTGAGTCTCAAAGTGGGGCTACAGACAGATGCTGTTTGTTCCTCCACAAGGAGGGACAGAAATCGAGAGTAATTCACGTTTACGGTATTTCACCAAAGGACTGGTCCACGGGAGACCAGAAATAAAGGAAGAAAGAAAGGACCGGTCTTTTACCTCACTGTCCTACGATGTAAAGCATGATGCAGGAGACACGTAGGGTCCCTGTTCTGCCTCCCTCCTAGGGCTGCCCCCACTTGGCTCCAGTGGGCTCTGTGTTCCAGGTGGAGCTGTGGGCGCCCATCCTGCTGGAACGACTCACCCAGGCAGACTTCCCTCCTTCACCCTAGAGCATTTCACCCAGCTGCAAATGCCACAGGCCTCAAAATATCTGCTGCCCCTGAACAGGCAGGGCCTGGCTCTCTCTCTGCTCAGCCCAGAAGGCTGGGCTGGATGGGGCCAGTCATGGCAGCTCAAGGGAAGCCATGCTGCAGTCAGTGTTGAAAGCTGTCCTCGGAGGAAAAGAATAAAACCGACGGTCCTAACAAGCAGTGCATTGGCTTTTACCCTTGAGGATGCTCAGTTGAAAATCCCTGTTTGGCTGCACTGTGGGGAAGGGACGCCTTTATCAGGTACAGAGTCTTTTTATACCTGAAGGGAACCCTAGGGGTCTCTGCTCAAACTCTTTTCTTTTACAGATGAAGAGGCTTAAGGAAACATGCACCCTTTTGGGATTAACATATACACACTGCTGTATGTAAAACAGATAACTGACAAGGACCTGCTGAATAGCACAGGGAACTATATGCAATATCTTTTGACAACTTATAAGGAAAAAAGAGCACATATATATATATATATATATATATATATATATATCAGAGGCAAGATTTGAACCCTCGAAGGGTCCTAGCCCTGTCTCTGCTCATGCAGTTGATCCATGGTTATTGAGGGTCAACTACACGCACGCTGTTCTCACAGAGCTCACATTCTAGTTGGTAAACAAACATACAAAATCAATAATTATAATTAACAAGTCATTAAAGACATAATTTCAGGTGGGGAAAAGGGTAATAAAGCCAATAAAAAGGCTGGCATGTTAGAGACTGCCTGAGGGTAGGGGAAGCTGCTGTTTGGGGGGATGGCCTATTTTCACTGGGTCCTCTGGAGTCCCCAAGGACCTCCCAAGCCAGTAGCATCCTGGAGCTGGCTCATTCTGGCTTGCAAGAGCCAGTTGTTAAATTTTCAGGAACTTGGCGAGCAAGTTGTTAAACACAGCCATTATTAAAAATTAAATTCTGGGCTTCCCTGGTGGCGCAGTGGTTGAGAGTCCGCCTGCCGATGCAGGGGACACGGGTTCGTGCCCCGTTCCGGGAGGATCCCACATGCCGCGGAGCGGCTGGGCCCGTGAGCCATGGCCCCTGAGCCTGTGCGTCCAGAGCCTGTGCTCCACAACGGGAGAGGCCACAACAGTGAGAGGCCCGCGTACAGCAAAAAGAATCTGAGGTCCACATAATTGCCATTTTTTAGAAGAAATCATTTTATAGCAAATGTTGCTTTTTGGTAGTTCACAGACTTATAGTGGATAGCCCCTTCTATGAGTTTCATCATGGGATTTCCTTTAATAAATTCCATTTCAGGGAGAACAGTGCTGTAGCAACATGTTCGTGTCTCACTATCAAAGAAAATTTCATAAGCAAACTGAACCAATTTGTTTCCTAGGGTATGTTTATCCCCATTAAGAGCTCCAAGAGTGAAAAAAAAAAAAAAAAGGTAATCATCAAAACTCATCACTTCCTAAATCAGAAAGAGAAAGACAAAGACAAATACCGTATGCTAACACATATATATGGAATCTAAGAAAAAAAAAAATGTCATGAAGAACCTAGGGGTAAGACAGGAATACTTGGACTTGAGGATATGGGGAGGGGGAAGGGTAAGCTGTGACAAAGCGAGAGAGTGTTATGGACATATATACACTACCAAACGTAAAATAGATAGCTAGTGGGAAGCAGCCGCATAGCACAGGGAGGTCAGCTCCGTGCTTTGTGACCACCTAGAGGGGTGGGATAGGGAGGGTGGGAGGGAGGGAGACGCAAGAGGCAAGAGATATGGGAACATATGTATATGTATAACTGATTCACTTTGTTGTAAAGCAGAAACTAACACACCATTGTAAAGCAATTATACTCCAATAAAGATGTAAAAAAAAAAAAAAAAAACGACAACCTCATCACTTCCTAATTGTTTTACTACATGCTATATACCCTTGAGGTTATTTATGTCTGCTGTATCTAGACACAGTGGAAAATACAGCAGCATGCTCCCAGCTCCTCCAGTAGTAGCTTGAAACTGGTCACAGTGGAAATATCTATACTATGGGAATTGGCAAATACCATGTATCAGGGCTTTCTTTTTTTTTTTTGGCCTGGCCGTGTGGCTTGCAGGGATCTTAGTTCCCTGATCAGGGATCAAACCTGTGCCCCCTGCAGTGGAAGTGTAGAGTCCTAACCACTCCACCACCAGGGAAGTCCCTGGGCTTTCATTTTTCAACTGGTCATGAAACATTTACCAGCATACCATGGCCTCCAGCTCTAATCCAGGCCTTCTGTGTTTGTGGGAGTCTGTTTTTCTGGGGAGAGTGTATGGTGGTGCAGCCCAACGCTCCTGGGGCTGTGTGTGAGGGCGGTGGCTACGGTCCTGTGGCCATGAACTTCCCTCTTCCTTTTTTAAGGCTTCCACAGTGAGGAAGCGAGTCTGGGATGTCTAAACAGATCTATCAATTCCTGCAAAAGAACTGCTCTCTTCAACAGTATTTAACAAGGGTCTGTAAGATGGTGATTCATTCATTCCTCTGGTTTATTTCTGATAAGTTAAATCCTATCCTAAGTATACTGGGGAGGTAAAAATTTAAAGGAACACCCTGCAGAGAATCTGTGTAAATGTGTGCGGTCACTTCTGAATTCCTCTAGATTTTCGTACGTTGGGTTTCTTCCTTCGAGAACATAACTGTTCTGATGACAGCGGAGTGACGTTACTATTACTTCTACCAATAATAATGATAAGAGTAGCTGCCATTTACTAGCACCATGTCAGGCACTAGACACATAGGTTATCTCTTAAATCCACCCCAACCCACTTACACATGAGAATGTTGAGGTTCAGGGGTTCAATAACTTGACTAAGGCCAGGCTGCCCCTCTGCAAGTTCCCCAGAACACTTTTCCCTCCCATAGCTGTGGTCCTGTGACTCTCCTTAGACCTGCAGGATTCTGGGACACTACTGGACCCCCTATCTCTGGTGACTTTGGAGGATTTTGTGACTTCTCAGCTTAGCGTCAGGAACCCTCTTCCACCACCAGGGCAGAACGAACCAAACACTCCCCCTGGTCATTCGTCTGCACCTGGAATGCAGGAGAGTGACCCAGGCCTGGGCAGCTTTGCGTCATAAAGAAGTAACGCTAAGGTTCAGATGCCAGTGAAATGTTACAGCAGCTCCAGTGGCAGCAAAAGCTACAATTAGCTCCCGTTGGGAGACCCTAACTGTGCGGTCTGTTGTCCAACCTCTACTGGTTCTGCACAGCTTGCTTTTCCAGCTTCCCCAGGGATACTGTGAACAACAAAAAAAGTTCTTCCAATGCATGCCTCCTCTGCCCCAGTGAGCTATAATCTCCCTCGGCTGCTTGCAGCCATGACTCCTGACCGGTACCTCTTCTCAGGTGCTTCTTAATATACCAGCCGCAAACATTTACTAAGCCTTTTCAGGACAGGGAATGAATTCCTAAGCACTCAATTTGCACATGAGAATATTAATTCCCCCTTCCTCTGCACAGCTCTGGTTAACATATGAAAATAGAGTTTGCAATAAAAATACCAATCTACAAACAACCATTGATCAACCGAGAGCAAATCCAGACCCAGTCCCTGCTCTCTGGGAGCCATATTCCCCTTAGAGAAAACCCCGCCCTTGATTTTGCAAAGTGTCTTGTCGTTCCCCACAGATGCCAGGCAAGTTCCTCTCGGAGACAGCTGGCCGGCCACTTGAGGACTCGTGGTTTCCCTGACGGAGGAGAAAGGACAGCTGCGCTTCTGCGTGCAGATGCTACCAAACACAACCTCACCCCGCTGGGCAGCTGACCCACTGCCCCAGGCTCACTCCCTCCTCGGTGTCGCTCCAGGCACCAGGGCCATCTGGATTCTGGAACAGCCATGGGGAAGATCAGGATGATTGCTTCTCAGAGCCTCTTCCCTGTGCCTGAAATACTCTTCCCTCTTCAGCCTCTAACTCCTGCAGGCTGCAGTTTGAAGGTCACTTCCTCAGGGAAGCCCTTCCTGACTACTTGCCCCGACAGCTACAGGCCCCTGTGACCCTCCACCCTGTACTTCTGCTTCTTGGCTCTCTCTGTGCACTGGGCTGTTTAATGACTGTCTCCCAAGCTAAATTCTACCTCTGCACAGGCAGGGATTGTACCTCTCTATTCACTGCTAATCTCAGGTGTCTAGCAGGGCATGTAGCAGACGCTCAATAAATTCTGGATGCTTTAACAATGAGTGAATGAAGTTCTGGCAGCTCAACGAATGTTGAATGAATATGTGATTCAAAGCATGAGTCTTGGCAAGAGGTGTAACTTTTAGAACCAGTTCCTGGTACCCAAACTCACAAATGGGGGCTCAAAACTTGATCCCTCTGCCCAAAGCAGTGGCTTCTCCCTTGCACATTTTTAGTTTGAATGTTCATTCCCTGTTGGTTTGGACTTGTCTGCGTTTTGTTTAACAGCAGATATTGCTCAGAGAGAAGTCTGCCCGATCATAGCCTTGTATCATTTTGTTGACAGAGAAACTGAGGCTCCGACAGCTCCTGCTGCTGGCAGCACCAGCTTCAGTGGGGCGAGACAAGCTCACCTTCAGCCCAAAGCTCTTTTTAGTGTCCCTCCCACCCCCCATATGGGGCCAAGTCCAGGGCACGTGAAGCAAGTCTACAGAAGATAAAAACACCCAGACTGGGACGGAGTTTGAAACTTTTATTAAGAACTAATCATAAGGGCTTCCCTGGTGGCACAGTGGTTGAGAGTCCGCCTGCCGATGCAGGGGACACGGGTTCATGCCCCGGTCCGGGAGGATCCCACGTGCCACGGAGCGGCTGGGTCTGTGAGCCATGGACGCTGGGCCTGCGCGTCCGGAGCCTGTGCTCTGCAATGGGAGAGGCCACAACGGTGAGAGGCCCGCGTACCGCAAAAAAAAAAAAAAAAAAAAAAAAAAACACACCAA